GTCAAATGAGAGCATCTTTCTGGAGCACTAAGTCTTCAGGAAAACACCTCATTGAGAATCTGAGAACCAGATTTCTGTTCTTAGCTTCACCCACTGAGAGTTTTATCGTCAAGCATTCACAACCCTTTTTTGTGCTAAATAAATTTGGTAAGACCAGGGGAATATTATCATTTGGCAAATAAAGAAATGGAAATAAATAATTACATGCTCCAAAAACCCCAGATGTTGACTTCTAGAAGTTAGCGAACACCTTCCCTTTTTCCTGAGCACCATCTAGATTTTCATTACCAAATAAGATTAGAAGAGTTGGGATATTCCTGTGGTTTCAGCCATGTAACTGTATGAAAGGCAAACACTATTCTTTTGTGATTGTGTTAAAAAGAAAGTCCAAGTAGCATTAAATTTTTGAATGTGGGAAGTGTTTGTTTATAAATGGCAGTCTTAAAGCTAGCAGAATTTTATTATGATTTATTTGAGGTAAGAGAATTAATATCTGAAACAGCAGGAAAATTACACTCCTACAAAAAATTACTCCTCTCACCTATTATGTGATTAATTCTAAGGAAAATTGAAATTGGCAATCTTCGCATTCTGGAAACTTGAAAACGCAACATCATAGGTCTTAGCCATTAGCTGCTGTGCCAGTTGCTTTCTTTGTTTATCCCATTCTAATCTTGCCAAGTGGCTTAAAGGGAGAGCCAAGTGTAATATTAAGCAGCATCAAGAACTTGACTTTCCTTCCAGGAGTCTTTAAACAAATAAAGAGTGGCTTCAAGGACCATTGTGGCACTTACTTGAATACCTTTGGAGTTGACCATAGCATGCACAGCTAGCTACTTTGTGCACAGCATTGGAGATGAGCTGTCCCCTGGGAAGGTGGAAGGACTCAGGGTACTTTGCACTAAGTTAAAGAAAGGAATGGGTGTTCACCCCATGCCTAAGTGCAAACAGTGCACTTGCTAAATATGCTCTCTAAAATACCCAGCAAGAGGGGCGCCTGGGTGGCTCAGTCAGTTAAGCAGCTGACTCTGGATTTCAGCTCAGGTCATGATCTCCGGGTCATGGGATTAAGCCCTGCGGCGGGCTCAGTGCTCAGTGCAGAGTCTGCTTGAGGATTCTCTCTCCCTCCCCCTCTTCCCTGCTCTCGCACACACTCTCTCTCAAATAAATAAATCTTTAAAAAAACAAAATAAAATACCTAGCAAGATAATCCTAGACTTTCGTATTTAAAAACAACTGGCTTATTGAATGGGAAAGCCTTTCCATTTTTGATGCTGCGGATGGGAGTTCAGACTTGCCCCCTTAGATTTGTTTTTACTGTATACAGCAACACGGCCGCTCAGAGAGGGCATTCAGTAGGTGATCTGGTCATGGACTTGAGCTCAGCTGAAGCTCCAAAGTGTCATCCTCCTGGAATCCATAGCCTAGTTCAGGCGGTTATCTGGAACCTGTCCAGAGCAGCAGCTGCTGATGAGCAGCAGCTGCTGATAAGCAGCTCTGCGCACTTGGACCCGCAGACAAGTTCCCCGGGCTGCCGTCGGTGTCTCAGGGGCTCAGTGCACCATGACGCCTTCTTCAGAGGACTGGGAACATCTTTGGTTTTTTTCTCCCTTTTTTTTTAGTTTTTTGTTTTAGGAAAATGATGGAGCTCTAGAGGAGCTTGAATGATGTGTATTAGTAAGAGGAAGGCGTTATTTGCTTGGAAAGCACATCTGGCTTTACTTGGCCTCACCCTCGTAAGCAACTGTCCAAATGGACGTGGCACATGACAGCCCATGTCCCACAGGCAGACAGTCACTCCTTTCTCGTGGTGTGTCTGGCCTTTTCCTTACCTGGATTCAATTCCCCCAGAGATAAAAGTGGCCATTCAGATCCTACCCTTGTCCTCAGTATGTGACAGGAATTTGTCCCTATCTTTGACACTCATCAAAGTGAAATAGATATTTCTCAGTGTTCATTCGTCCCGTGGGAAAATCAGGAGAGTGGCTGTGTAAATGGGCTGTGTTGGGGAGCACAGGGAGGAGAGAGCTGGGTGGCACAGAGCCTATGGACCTTTACCCTTCTTCCTCTGGGATGGCTTTTCTTATCAGCGAAGACAGAACGCATGTTGTGCTCATACACACATACACATGCACACACATGCACACACAAATGCACACACATGTGCACACATGCACACAGACCAGCACAGACACATGCACCCACACAAACACGCAGAAAGATGCACGTAAACAGATATGCACACATGCAAACAGACAGATGCATATACATGCACACACATGCACATGCATACACAGATGGGCACACATGCAAACAGATGCATATACACGTGTATGCACATGCGTACATGCAAACAGATGCATGTACACGCACACATGCACATGCTCGCATACACAGATGGGCACACATGCAAACAGATGCATATACACGTGTATGCACATGCGTACATGCAAACAGATGCATGTACACGCACACATGCACATGCTCGCATACACAGATGAGCACACATGCAAACGGATGCATATATGTGCACACATGCACATGCTCGCATACACAGATGGGCGCACATGCAAACAGATGCATATACATGCACACATGCACAAGCAGACACACATGCACATACTTGCATACACACGTGGGCACACATGCATACACACATGCACACGTGGATGTGCACACACACACATGCATGCATGCACATATCCAAGTGCGTGAGTGAGAATGCTGTGCCAGCCAAGTGTGTATTAACGCCTTTCTCCAGCGGCATGGTGCTCTGCAAGGTCTGAGGGGCTTGTGGATGGCGGAGGGAATGGCTCTTGCCCTCAGGCTGCTTTTCGCTCCAGCCGCGTCTCCTATTGCAGTCTCTGCTGTGAAAGCAGACAGGTGTATGGCAACGCGGACCTTGGCACATTAGAGAAACCGGGAGAGCTTTTCAGAGACATTTAGGGCTTTGCTGGATAAAGAAGAGGGGAGCATGTGTTTCCGACTGAGGGAAGTGTTCGTCTATGTTTGGGGATGACTGTCTGGATGCACCTGCAGCTGACATGGGCTGTAGGTATTTAGGGAGGCAGGCAATGGGGCACAGAGAGAAAATGCAGGTGGAAGGGAATCTTGGGTCCAGATGGCACAAGACCTTGACTCCAACGCTCAGGAGTTTGGGTTGGTTCTATCAAAGGTTGGAGCCTTCAAAAGCATCAACTTCCTAGTCCTTTTTCTTTGTTGTCCTTCTTCCCTTCCATAAAGCGATACCTACCACTGCCAAGCTTCCGTTCCTTCCACATAAATCCAAACACTTCATCGCATCTTTACAGTCTCCTCTTTTCCTTCTCACTTCATTTCTAGGGTATTTGAAATTTTCATATCTGCTTTCTAAAGCTTTCTAGATGACAGTAAACAAAACACAGACGTGTATGCCCATTGCAGCATTATTTATAAGGGCAAGGAATGGAACCACCTTAAGTGTCTGTCCTCAGAGGGCTGGCTGAGTGAATTATGACATATCCACACGCCACGTATTATTCAGGTATCGGAAAGAACGTAATAGATTTAGTGACAGGCATGGCAAAGTGTCCTCCGTGTACTGTTAGGTGAACGTATAAAGTGGAGTATGATCATGCCCTGACTTTTCAAATTGTTTGTTTCCTTTTATGGGTTCAGAGCTAAAAGCTTGGAAGGAAAAGCACCAAAGGGATCAGCAGGACCTGCTCTGAGGAGGGAACTTGGGGGAGGGGACAGAAGGAAAGGAGCACTTCTGTTTTCCACCCCATCTCGCCCTGTCCTTTGCATATTCTAAATCAGCATGTGTTAACTTCAGAACAAAAGCTTACAATTGCAAATAAACAGCCTAAGACTGGTACCTGAACTTCCTCAGCCTCTCTTGTCCTAGGGTCTCAGAACTTTCTTTGTGGTTCCCCCAGGGCAAAAGAAATACCTAACCTCTCTGTTTATTAAGTGGTTTGGTCCAAATGACCTAGTAAGAATTTATGTCCTAATGACTCAGTACCTGTGGGAAAAAATGATCCACACAAATGGAAAGAAAGTGAATATTTTTATTTCCGTCTTCCATAACCGCAGTGGCGTGCCGATGGGGTGTGTGTGCTTTTTGGGCACCTCACAGCCCCTGAGACCTTGAACCCAGGTTGGACACTGCCACCCTTACTTCCCTTCCCATTCTACCCTGATGTCCTCAAGATACTGGTCTCTTGTCACAGGAACCTCCAAACACCCTTTGTGCTGACTTCGAAGGGAAGGCAGTGCAATCTCATGCTGAGAGCCTGAACTGCCTGGAGCTAGTAGTTCACTTAGTGTCTGAACCTGCTGGTTCCATCAAAAATGTAAAATATTCCTCAGTAGCCCATGAATTCACTGCAATGCCCTGAGGTGCCTGGGCACACAGTTTGGGAACCACAGACATAAACAACAGGGAGCCTGGTGGGCATGGCCTTGCAGTGTCACTTCCTTAGAGTGACTTCAGTAGCTGTCGTTCCATCCCTCTGTCCCTTGCAGTGTCTGTATTTGAACTGTGATGCAGATCTTTCTGGAACTTTGGGACCCTTTATAAGAGCCCTGACTCATGCCTCCTTTTTGCCCGCACAGCAGGAGACTTGATCTAGTTATGATAAGCCTCCTACTCTTAAATCCCTTAGAGTTTTATTTCCAAGTTACTCTCTTCACTGGAAAATGCTTGCACCCGTTCTGCCGGGCCTGCGTCCCTCAGGAGCGGGCGAGTTTCTGGAGAAGGGAGCCCACACTTCCTGCGCCTTCAGGGGGATCCCAGATCCCTCACACAGCGCTGGCGCATGGGGTAGACTCTCAATCAGGGCCAGCCTCAGCGTCGATTGTGAGAAGGACTCTCTTTGGGCTTTTTTGTGTCTTCCAGTACGGCCGAACTCCTCTGCACCTTGCGGCCAACAACGGGATTCTGGACGTGGTCCGCTACCTCTGTCTGGCGGGCGCCAACGTGGAGGCCCTGACCTCGGTGAGTTACCTTCCGGCAGGAGAAAGCCAGAGAAAGCGAGAGAAAACGTCTCAGGCCTTGAGGGCATGAGGGGAAAGGTATCCGCTGTGAAGCTTTGCTCCTGCACTGCACTTAGGGGGAACAGTTGCCCACGCAGAGCCAGGGCGAGGGCTCGCTCTGCCGCCTCCCCTGCGCATTTCGTGGCCCGCGCTGCCACGAAGGCCTGCCGTGGCCCACGTTCCACAACAGCGCCTTGGGGTGTGTGGTTAGACATGCGTGTTTTCCTTTCCTCAATGCCCCCCCTCCCCTACAGGGCTCTGGAGGTTCCTGGGGTGAGGGTGGGGTGGGGAACCGCTTAGGAGAGCTGTTGTCTCCTGTTTAAGAAGTCTGGCTTGGCTCTTAGGCCCGCATAATGATTTTACAGGAGATGCTTCAGTTCCCCTGGCCCCCCCACTCCCCATTCCACACCAGGTACCGCCCTGCTCCATTTACATCTCGGGAAATACCAAAGAGGACAAATCCGGGGGCTAATGAGATAAGGTTGTCATTTTACTGCTTACAGGGAAATACTATCATTTGACTTGCTTCTGGCCTAATGGTGGGTTGAGTCTCCCACTCTGTTATGTGGGAGACTCCTGAAACTCACTAGTGCTTTGCTGACATGAAGTGTTTGTCTAAGGAGAGCCATTGGAGTTTTAAAATATGGCAAAAATTTAAAATATTTTGGGAAGATCAGGGCCCTGAGGCTGGAAGGGAGGCCTCATTTCCTGGAGAGGCATGCAGGGGTTGGCAAACTAGGGGCCCCAGGCCAAATCCAGCCCGCTGCCTGTTTCTGTAAACAACGTTTTATTGAGACCCCGCCATGCTCATTATTTATGTATTTATGGCCACTGGCATGCTGTAAGGTGGAGCTGAGCAGTTGCAACAGAGATCCTATGGCCTACAGAGCCCAGAGTATCTACTCTCTGGCCCTTTACAGGAAATGTTTGGTGACCCCTGGTGGAGGACATTGCCTCCCTGAATGCACTGATGTTCCTTTGATGCCTTCTGTCCCCACAAGTACTGGGCCCATTCTCTGTAGTGTTGAGCCCTGAGCTGGGCTTTTCTGCAAGCCCAGGGAATGCCAGTGCTGTAGATGGGATTGTCCCTTCCTTAGGGCACCTCCCCACCCCTCACAGAACCCCACATGGCCATGCATGGGCTTCTAGGCCTGATGTGCCATTATCAAACCCTGCCCAGCCATGTCTTGGCATTCAATTCAGTTACTCCACAGTGCACGATTTATATGCATTTTTATGAGGAAAAGTATATATATATATATATTTTTTTTTTTTTTTCCATCACAAATGTTGCCTCATAAAAAATAAACTGTCAAGGATGGCTCTGAGGATACCAGATGCTGATTCTGCCAAACCCCACAGTCACGTTGGGGACAGTAAAATGTGTGGCCCTTGGCCTCTGCTGGGTGGTTGGTGCTACCCCACGACCTCTGTTGAGCCCTGGGTCCTCTCCCTTTGCCCTTGCCCACAGCAGCTGTTTCCTTACTTCCCACCAGGGGCCTCCCCCTCCAGCCCGCCCTCAGGTGTATCTCCTCGTTCATCCTCTGCTTACGACTGTGCCTCCCTGGCACCCCTCGTTTCTTCAGTCCCCAAATACTGGGCACATACTGTGCACCAGGCTCGGCTAAGACCCAGGAACACAGAGGGGCCTGGGCAGATGAGCCCCCCTCCCTCAGGAAACTTCCAGTCTAACGGGGCTCTTATGACCCGAGTGGCCCAGCCTCCAGGGCAGGTGCGGTGGAGACAGAGGTCTCGCTCTTAGATAGAGCAAGGGGCAGCCTCCCAGGTGTCCAGCAGGGGGCGGTATGATCACCAGACCCGGTGTCGCGAGCTGACCTCTCCAACAGAGCCATCACACGTGCAGCAGGTGCCATTCTAAATGTTCTAGAAGCCACATCCAAAAAGGAAAAGAAATGAAGAAGTTAATTTCAGGAATATATTTTGTTTAGCACAAAACATGCACAGTGTTATCATTTCGACCTGCAATCAGTATTTTGAAACTATTGAGATATTTCCCATTCTTCGGTTTGTACTGTCTTGGAAATGCGGTGTGTGTTTTACACCCACAGGCATCTTAACCTGGGCCACCTTTCAAGCACCGCGTAGCCACGGGTGGGGAGGGGCCGCCTCCTTACTGGCAGAAACAGTGCCCGCCCCGTTCCTGTGCTGTTCTCCCTGCCGCTGAGAGGACCAGGTCCCGCGTCCTTAACCCCAGCTCGCGACCCTGCGGCGCCCCCTAGCGGTCGCTTGCCGTCCCATTCTGGTCTCAGCTCCAATTACTTGGAAAAGCCTCTGAAAGTCCTGCTCTCTTTTTCCTGAACTGCCGCCCCCTCTCCCTCCGCACAGTCCCTTCTGGACGCTGTGCTCTCTGCCAAGTCTCCAGTCACCTCTTGGTAGCTCTTGCCTTCAAAACTTTTTTATAATAAGATAAAACACAGATTTTTTTTTTTTTTTACAAAGTACATGAACAAAAGTAAAGCTCACTGAATTATTATAAGATCGGCACCTTTATAACCCACTCAAAGGTCAAGAAATAGAATTTTCAAGGTCACCCCAAAAGCCCCCGGGGCCTGACTCAGTCGCTGCGTCTCTTTCCGCACAGTGTAACCCCGCTCTTGACTTTTGGGGTAACCATGCCCCAGCCTGTCTTCATTGTCCCCCGCACCTAAGAGGCAGCAGCTTTTCTGAATCCTGGTGCATTAGCTGTCTCTCCAGGACTTGCACTTCCTGCCCCTCCCTCCCGCCTTGGGTAAGAAAACCCCACTTGGTCCTGCCTCTCCTCCTGCCTCTGCTCATCTCCTCCAGCCCCATGTCCATCCCAGTGTCCTCCTGTCCTCCGCCCCTGCCCTCTGACCACCGTGGCCTGCGGCTGCCCCTGGCCTCAGGCCCACGTCCTCGGCTCCAGCCCCACTTGCCCCGGAGCGCCCCCTCGCATGCCCTCTGGTGGGCACCAGCTTCGGAGGGCCAGACCTCCACGTTCATCCTCACCCTCCTCCCCAACCTTCTCTGTCAGTGTCGGACCTCTGCAGAGTCGCCGGGTCCAGGGACGGAGAAGCTCTGCTTGCCTCTCCCCTGCATCCTCCTGGGGGGCCTCGTCCCAGATTCTTGGTCTCATAGCACTCTGGCCTCTGGCCTCTGGTTAAGGACCTCAGTGTGTGTTTCTCCCAGGACCAGCTCAGCCTCGGATCTGGTCCCTTGATTGTAGCCGTGGCCCTCCTGACCGTTCCATTCCATCACCACATCTGTGGTTCTGGAAAAGCCGATGAACTCCAACCTCCGCTGCCGGGCACCCTCTGTGCCCAGCCTCACCCTTCACCCGGTCCCCCTCAGCTATACCTGGCAGAAGAGAGCTCTTTGAAGGTCCTGGGAAGCCCTTCGCTTGCTCCCAGCTCACCGAATTGGCATATGCTCTTCTTTCCGTCTGGAATCTCCTCTGTTTCTACTCCCTCCCTCCCCTGCACACACACACACCCCTGCCATAAGACGTGATGTGCCCCTTCCTTCCATGTGAGAGACTTTTAATGCCTAATAGCAGACACCCAGGCACATAGTCACAGATGACATTAGTGGCAGGAAGATTCTGGAACACTAGCTCCTTCTCATCTTTCAATATTCGGCTGGAGCCCCAGACAGCCTCGTCTTTCTCAGCCCCCAGTAGCAGTTATGATTTGCTCCCCTTTCTTGCTCTGTTGGAATTGACTGCTGATCCCCCATGAGGCTATGAGCCCTTGGCCATGATCATGTGCAATTTGTAACTGGTTTCCTGGCTTCTAACCTCACCTGCCCAGTCTGCTCCTCAGGCAGCAGCTTGTGTGACTCCATTGAAATATAAGTCAGATCATGTCCCTCCTCCGCTCAGACCCTCCATCAAGTTAGAAGTCTTTAGGAGGGGGGCTCCCTTAAAGATTGGCCCCTCACATTGCCTCCCTGACCCCCATCTCTTACTCCATCTCCTCCCTTTGACCCCCCCACACACCACATGAGCTATATGAGCTTCTTTGAAATTGTTCAAACATGACAGTCATCCTGCTGCCTCAGGACCTTTGCACTTGCCTTTCTTCACAGGCATCCAAATGGCTTGCTTTCTCTTCTCCTTCAGGTTTTGACTCATACATCACCTTCTCAATGAGGCCCTCCCAGACTACTCTTTGTAACCAGGAGGACACTGCGTGTTAGAATTGCTTGTGGGAATTAGCACCTGGCTCAGGGGCACAGGATAGGGCAAGGCCAGAATGCAAAACATCCAGCTCCCACCCTGTTCCCTCCTAGAAACACAGGGAGTTTGGGGAAATTCTTAGCTCTTTTATTAGTAATTAATGCTGCTTCCTTTTTCCATGACCAGTACACTGTTGGTTCTCTTCATTTGGTTTTCCCTAATCTGCTTCAAGTCCCTGTGTGGTGAGGGTCCCGGTTTCCACCTTACAGATGAAGCCCAGGTTCCAGGAGGCCCAGTGACTGACCACTCAGCTCGTAAGGGGCCTATTCAGGACGTAAACCTCGTCCTCTTATTCCAAAGGTCAAACTTTCCATGACACTGACAGGCATTTCTTTTGGGAGCCTGAACAGTGTCTCTTAGGGCCAAGTGTTTTGCAAACTGTAAAGTGCTGCATAACTGTAGGGCATTTGGTTGATGGTGGTTTTCCTGTCATTTGAAAGGCTCTATGATGGACAGTAATCTTTGTCACTGAGGGTCCTCTGTGTAACGTGCCAATCCTGGGTCTCTGAGAGAAATGCTGTGGCCAGAAGACCCCAAAAGACAGACACTTTAGTCAAGGCTCAGATTTCTTCCAACCAGGACAGTGGTCCCCAAACTTGGCTGCACGCCGGAATCACCGGGAGCGCTTACAACCGCAGTGTCCGGGCCGCGCCCAGACTCAGGGAAGCAGAGCGTCTGGAAGGGAGTGGGCGCGTGCAGCTCGCGGGAGATCTTAGAGACCCCGGGGTTCCAGTGTGCGGGGAGGTTTGGGAACTGCTAACCTGAGGCCTTTCTTACCATGTCAGTAAGGATCCAGGCAGTTTGGCACGAATCCCTGGTTGGGGTGTGGTGTCTGACAAGATCCCTGATTCTCCCCAGAGCAAACTAGAAGCCCTCCCCTGCCCCGTGGAGACATCTGGGGACCCCAAGGGAGAGCGAGATGGGCAGCGTGACTGTAAAGCCTCCTCCCCGGAGCACTCACATGAGCTTCCAGCTTCAGCCTAAGGCAGCGGTTCTCCACTGGGGTGATTTCGCGCCACCCAGGGAACACTTGGCCATGTCTGAAGACCCTGAGTTTTCACGAGTTGGGGAAGGCGATCCTTGCAGAGACCAGAGAGAGATGCGCTCATCACCCTGCAGTGCACGGGACAGCCCCGCACAGTAGAGAATTATCTGGTCCAAAATGTCAGCAGTGCCGATGTTGAGAAACACTGGTCTCAGGAAACCCCACGCTTGGCTTGGATGATGACTTGGGTGGAGAGGTTGGAAGCTGTGCTGTTAATCAGACTCGGGCATCTCTGAGCTTCCACGGGAATGGAGCTTTAACTGGTACTGATAAACCCTGAATGAGAGATGGATCCAAAATGCTTCTTAATCTTGTTGAAAAGAGATTGCTTTTATTTGCACGGAAATTGCTTCTCGCCTTTTCTACTTCGAATTTGTAATGACTTTAAAACTGTAGCAGAACAGTCCCTTAGCCTCTGTTTCCTCCTCGGTGGCACATGAACAGCCATAGTCCCCACCTCCCCCGAGGGACTCCGAGGGCTCATGTGCACAAAGCACGGACAACTGGACCAGGCGCATGAGATTAGGAGGCGCTCAATACGTGTTAGCCAGGGTCCTGCTTATTGCTGGCACAGAAATGGAAATGAATTTGCTCGCTGTGAAACTGCAGCCTTATGAAAATTCTCCAGTTAAAAGGTGCTGTGAACTCTGATTTCCTCCTCTTATGTTCACTGAAAATCTTCAGATCAAAATTGTCAGTAAGACTAAGGCTTTTCTTTGAAATGCACAGTAATTACCAGTAACTAGCATCCTATATGAGTGCTCAGGTTTGTCCATGGAAGGATTTGAAGACATTAGCTAGCACTAACTAGAATTTGGCATCTCTGGAAGTCCTCATTGTCTGCTTTATTGGAGAGAGGTTCAGCATTTGGGGTAATCCGCCCACCAACGAGGTGCCAGGTGTGATGAAAGTCTGTGGGTCTGAGACGTCTCACCGATGGAGTTCAACACACCAGTGCACAATTGTTTTCTAATTCTCACCTTTCTTCCCTGGACAACCAATAAGGAAATGAAATAAGGACTGTGCAGAAAGAGAAAGAATCCAGGACCCTCTGTTTGTCCACCTTTTTTGTTTCTAAGGCCTGTTAACTCTTGTCTCTGCCTCTGACAGCAGAACCGGTGCATGGAACAAACGGCTCTCCTGTGAAGGACAGACACTAATCATTGTTCTCCCAACAGGATGGGAAGACAGCAGAAGAGCTTGCTAAATCAGAACAGCACGAACATGTAGCAGGTCTGCTTGCAAGACTCCGAAAGGTGAGAAATTCCTTTTATCAGTCTGAAATTCTGTTTTCTATGAAAACGTCTGTCTTTTTCCTGGTAAACAATGAGGTGAACAAAATGAGGCTTTGGACACACAGGCTGTAGGAAGGGCATCTCTCCCTGCCCTGCCGTTTGCATACAGTTAGTGTAAATGCATCAGCTACCTATCAGTTTCTTCTTCTGTGTTTGGACTTGGAAATCATTTGGCCTCCTTACAGTTTCTGTGCCTAGTTTCCCTCCTCCCACCCCTTCTGTAATAACTGTTCCCATAAAGTAGACAGGAAATGAGAAAGCTGACTGCTTCTTTCTTTCTTAATGTTTTGCGCTCCAAGACATCACATGATATGCTCTGGTCTAGGAAACACTGTTGCTTTAAGGTTTAAGGAAACAGGATAAATATAAGTTAATGCAGGGGTGTCTTTCCAGCCCACATCATAGGAAAGTGTATCAAGAGTCTTCAAAACAGTCACACCCTTTAAGGTAGGAACTCCATGTCTAGGACTCTATCCTAAAGAAATGACAGAAATGCAGGAAATAGTGTCTTATGCACACAGATGTTCATTGCAGTGTTATTTATAATACAGTAATAAAAATCAGAAACATCAGATGACCAGCAATAATGTCTAGCAAATTGCTCTACATCTATAGGATAGAACTGTTTTTGGCCACTAAAATATTTTTGAAGAGGTTTCAGCAAGAAGAGTTTAATGCTTAGGATACTCTAGGGCTTCAAAGCAGAAGATAAATTATATATATGTACATTATAATCCCGCCTGTGTTTTTAAAAAGTGCATAAAAAGAAAATATTAACAGTGGTGTTTTGGGATTTTGCTAGTGTAATTTCCTACATTAAACATAACTGCAAAAAAAAAAAAAAAAGAAACATGACTGCATTTTTTCCAAGTTCTGTATAATGCACGTGAGCCTCCTACAACAGAGGTTAGAACTCTGCACGTCTGCCTCTATGCAAATATTTTTCAGTAAAGGACAGTACAGTGCTGTAAATCTATTGTCTCTTCCTTCTGATTTTCTTACTAATGTTTCCTTTTCTCTAACTTGGCTGATTGTAAATATACAGTCTATAGTCCATATCAACATACAAAATACGTGTTAATCGCCTGTTTATGTTATCGGGAAGGCTTCTTCTGGTCAACAGTAGATTGTTAGTAGTCAGGTTTTGGGGGAGTCAGAGATACATCTGGATTTTCAACTGCGTAGGGGTTCAACACTCATAATGCCTGTGTTGTTCAAGGACCATAATCATGTAATAATTTTTCAAAAACAAACTTTCGAGAAATAAAAATACAATCCAGTCGATTACAGTGCTTAGTGGAAAGGCACTGTCCAAAATCAGCTCAACGAGTATCCCACAGAGGTCCCACCATATAAACTGGAAAGTGCCCTGGGAGGGATGATCACCTCTTAACCTCCCCAGCTACAGAGAGTCTGAATTTTCCTAGTGGTCCCAGGGTCTGGCTGTGGTGGGAGAGGGGACGTGGGTGGGAGTAGGTGCTTTCCCAGTACCTGGAGTTGAGCTGGGAGATAATGCATCTTCACACCTTTGTGATTCGGAGTCTACGTACTGGCCACAAAGGCAAGGATTCAATGTGCCCTTCCTTCCAGAAATTCCAGGAAGAGAACAGTCTGGGGAAAATGTCCCTCGCCTTACACGTTCTTGCAGGGAATGTGTGCATTCGCTGTGGACTTGGTGTTCTCCCACTCTTCACCGCCGCGCACTGTCTCACTGTGAAGGAGAATTTGGACAAGAAAAACAAGGGGGAAGTGTTTTTGTTTACAAGCAAAATGAGAGGGGGTGGAGCCTGAGAGTCACTGTCCCCAAGTCAACAAGGAACTTTCACATAAAGTCTCCTAATCTTTAAATTCTCTTATTTTGAAGCAGTGCATCTGCCAGCACGTGGAAGAATGGAGCAGTGTGCAACCCTGCAACGGGCCACATTGGCTCAAGTGTTTGCAACTTTTGACTTTGGGTGGATTTTATAGCAAGGTGCCCTGCATTTGAGGGCAGAGCCTTATGTTTATTTTATTTTATTTAGTTTATTTATTTATTTATTTGTTTGTTTAAGAGAGAATGCTCATGTGAGCAGAGGGAAGGGCAGAGGGAGGAGAGAAGCAGACTCGCTACTGAGTGTGGAGTCTGATGGGGGGGACGGGGCTCTATCTCAAGACCCTGGGATCATGACCTGAGCCAAAATCAAGAGTCGGACATTTAACCGACTGAGCCACCCAGGTGCCCCCATAGAGCCTTATGTTTATAGGCTACATGTCACATATATAAGGGCAGTTTTAAGTCAATTACTCGTGATAGCGTCCATCTACAGTGAAAAGAACCTGACATCAAATCTGGCCTTCCCGATGGCTCGATGAGGATGCAGTTTTCCTGTTATTAGTCCACTGGGGGGGGAGCGATTTCATTAGGCTGAACACCTTACGAGTGGACACACATGCTGGGTCAGGGATGATCGGGTTTCTCACATTCCACAGAGGACGATTGTGACCCACGTCTCACTCAGGGTGCCACCACCCGACTCTGGGCCCCAGGGTCACCCCTGCTGTGTGTGTGGCCTCCAGCAGTCCCAACCAGCGCGCTTCTCAGAACGAAACATCTGGCAGATCTTTCTTGGCTTGGAGTGCTGCTCACCATCTCAGAGACTTCTCACAGAGCCCTGACCCTGGGAACGTGCAGCCACTCATTTTTAAGCAGAAATCAATGGCAGACCGTGGGCCGCACTCGTCTGATGGGTCACCGGGGAAACATCATCCTTGGGCAGAGTGACGCAGCTTTTCCTTAGGCTGTGCTGTGTTTATCTGCCCGTCTCCCCCTCAGGAAAGGTCCATTCTTTTTTTTTTTTTTTTTTAAGATTTTATTTATTTATTTGACAGAGAGAGACACAGCGAGAGAGGGAACACAAGCAGGGGGAGCAGGAGAGGGAGAAGCAGGCTTCCCACAGAGCGGGGAGCCCGATGCGGGGCTCGATCCCAGGACGCTGGGATCATGACCTGAGCCGAAGGCAGACGCTTAATGACTGAGCCACCCAGGTGCCCAACAGGAATAACCATTTAAAAAGCATAGCCTACTTAGTGATGAAGTGGGAAGCAGCTTTCAGAGGACAGTATATTGTAAGTACCAATTCACCTGGTTAAGACTGATGCAATCCTCTGCTTATCCTGGACCGGAGCAATAGGAACTATATATTGTTACTGCTGTACCTTTTTTTTTTTTTTAAGATTTTATTTATTTATTTGTCAGAGAGAGAGAGGGAGAGAGTGCATGCACGCAGCAAGGAGAGCGGCAGGCAGAGAGAGAGGGGATCCCAATGCAGGGCTCGATCCCAGGACTCCGGGATCGTGACCTGAGCTGCAGGCAGACGCTCAACGACTGAGCCACCCAGGCGCCCCGGTCCATTCTTTTATTTAAAAGTTAATTGCCAGGCTGGGTGCAAAGCCAGTGTCAAAGCATGATGCGCAGGGGGTCAGAGCAGCACCACACAAGCTTCTCTGTTTGTATTTCCAATTACAAAAGCAACACAGGCACAGGGCAGGGAATCTGGGATCAGATGAAGGGAGAAAGCGCGCTCAGGGCGTCCGTGCTGATTCCTCCCCAGCCGTGGGCAGGGGGGTCCTTCCCCGGAGCTGGGCTCACTGGCTGTGTGGTGAGCCCCGATCTCCTTCCTGGGCTCACCAGGGCCTGCTCCGTTCAGGAGAAGCTCCTGAGACCCACCCCCCCAAGCAGCTGAGACCCGCGAGTTTGTTTGCCTCCGTCGTTCCCTCAGAGGGCTGTTGCAGTTCACATCATGCGGTGGAGGAGAGTGATCACAACCAGTGAGGACGGAGAAGGGAAAGGAAGAGGGCAGTTTCTACTTAGGAGCATCTGGTCCCCCTGTTTCTCTCGAGGATGGGGCCGGCATTCTGGGGTGGGTGGGACTTCCTGTCCTTGCAGGCCTTGCGGACCCCCCCAAGCAGCTCATGTCATAGCACCCCCTCCCCCACTCATTGTGAAATCAAAAACTGTTCTTACATATTTCCTGACACTCCTGGGGGAGTCACCCTCTGTTAGACCCCTTTATGTGGCTCTTGAACACATTCCCGGGGAGAAGTCTGTGTCTGCAGACCAAGGGGGGGGCCTTAAATTGCTTTGTCATTCCATAGGTTTGCAAGTGGGCTAGATTAGCAACAGAAACGCCCCCTTGTTTTCACCTCTATTCATTTGAGGAGCCTGGGAACATATTTTTAAAGAAGGTGCTCTAGAGAAGCCATGGGACTTGCTGTTCTAGAAGTACAACCACAGTCATCTCGTTGACCGGCAGGGGGCAGCAGAGCACTGGTCAGAGCAGAGGGAGAGGCTCCTTGGGTCCTTAGCACTGGGGGCTGACCTTGGGGAGAGGAGACCTTGTAGCCAGGGCCTCTGGGCAGGGTGGGGGTGAGGGTGGCCGAGGCCAGAACTTGTGGGGGCAGGAAGAACACGGGGCAGGCCTGAGCTGGGCAAGGTCTGCTCTGACCCAGTTCCGCACAAAATGACTGCGAGCGGTGGTGTGCGGAAGCCCCTGGTCCTGTCCTGCAGAGCCCACCACAGGGGTCTTTTCCCAACTGCTGCGTGCTCCGTGCCCTCACACTGGGGGCTTGATTTTCCTTCCAATTAGATTTCCATAAGCTGATATTAAAATAATTGCTTTTCTTACACCTAAGATGAGACAGAGAAGAAAGGTGCCTGAGAATACTTTGGAAAATAGGAGGAAGTGTAGAGTTTGCCCAGAATTTCAAATTCAGCACAAGTAAGCTACATTTGCATAATTAAGAGTTGCTGCCCCTCCCCTGCTGGGTCTGACTGCATCCTGCCACGGGGGAAAGCCATGTCACCTCCCCATGCTCTTACCTGGCTTTGCCAGATTGCTGATGGTCTTCGTGTCAATCTGTTGATGGTTAGTCATCTTTGCTGATGGGAAAGTGAAGCTAAAAGCTAAAGGTGCAGGAAGAAA